AGGAAATTGGGGGGGGGGTGAGATGCCTCCCACAAGTCCTCACGGGTTCCCACTTGTCCCTTCTAAAAGCATATCTATTTTTAAAAGGCTGCTGCTTTTTAATCTGTAAAGACAGCCTTGCTGTAATCATTGCAAGGTAAATAAGCAACGATGAAAGCTCTTCAAATACACATTTTCTTGCCACTGAGCATGCTTTTCAGCCCAGTTATGAATTTTGCTGCCTCCTGTCCCCTGACTAGAGTTCTCAGTTCCTCTCCTGGCCACCAGCAGGGGATTTGGGGGGGGGGGTTAGGGTTGCCAGCTCCAGGTTAGAAAACTCCTGGAGATTTGGGGGTGGAGCCTGGGGAGGACAGGGACCTCAGTGGGGTACAGTGCCATAGAGTCCACCCTCCAAAGCATCCATTGTCTCCGGGAGAACTGATCTCTGTAGTCTGGAGATGAGCTGCAATTCCAGGGAATCCCCAGGTCCCACCTGCAGGCTGGCATCCCTACGCCCTGACTCAAATACGAAACGGTACCTCTGTTTAACTATCGCCCTTCTCTCCCACCAACTTCCAACGTGCGTGGAAAAGCCTGGCTCCCCCCTGTTCTTTTGGTGAAATAAGTATCTTGAAAATCAGCACCAGAAGCAGCTGCTGCAAACACACAGCAAAATCTATAAAGAAGTCCGATATCGAGAGAGATCTGCTTACCACTTGTGGACAAGGGTTGTTTGGAGAAGCTGGAGTAGCCACCAGTTCTTTTGTGAAACGTCTTCTCCTCCCCAGCTTCCTGAAGCTCCCTCTTTTATGCATTACCTGATAAGGGGCTCCAGTGAAAGAGAAAGCATTTCTTATTCTGAGACTCCCGCTCAGCCCTCTGGTATGGTTGACCCAGCAATACGGCAGGATTTTTCCAGGATGTAACATGAGTTCCCTCTGGCCACAGCTTTCATTTTCTAGTCGCTGTTCCCAATGCAAATATTTATTGCTGTTGATAAGATTTCAAAGAAAGAACGGGCTTTCGAGAAAGGCAAAAATAGTAAACGAGGTAAGATATTACAGGGCCCCCCCTCAAAAAACCCCATTCTCCCTGACCGCCAGCTACAATAGTGAAAAGTAGTACATGGCTTTCAAAGTTGACCCTGTTTCCTCAAGACCTGACAGTAGGTTTGCCTGCCTGCACAACATAGAAAAAGTGCAAAAGACAGGAATGAAGGGAGACAAAGTAAGACTGGAGAGATGTGGGAGCAGAGAGATCGAAGGTCAGGGCCCCTGATTGGAGGGGGTCTGGGGGGGGGAATTCAGGAGGCCCTGAAGCTGGCCCCATGCTGTATTCAGGGAATGTATCTTTAAAAATTCTAATGCCATTCTCTGGCCCCCGGTCACACTAGGGGGAAAGGCACGGCTGAAGTGCGGCTTTTTAGAGCCACATCAAAAGAGAAGCACGGCTGCGGGATCAGACAGATCCCCCCAGCCGCCGTGCAGTTCCTCCCCAGCATGATCAGATGCCGGAGGGAAGCCACGGACCGGAGAGCAAGGCAAGCCCACTATGCATGCATGTACACACAAAATGAGGTTTGGACCCCCCACACAGGCTGCACCCCAAAATAATAAAAAATGTGGGGGTCCAAACCTCATTTTGGGTGCAGGGGGCACTTCCTTATTCAAATGTCCTTTGAAATACAGGCCTTGGGGAAGCCCTGCGAAATGAAGCTGGTGGCGTCAGAACCGGTGTTTGGACCGGCCGTTACTATATGTCACCTTGCAGGGCCCAGTCCCCAGAGCGTGGGGATGTGTCATTTGGGGTGGTCCAGAGATTATTGGGGGGGGGGGCAGCCTGGCTCCAGTCAGTGTCTGCTTGTGTGATTGTCCTAGGGGCACTGCACTTTGGAGCAGCTGGCACCAGAACCGTGCTTTGGACCACGATACAGTGTATGTCCCCTCGAAGGGGAGAGTCCTGTGAATGTGGGGGTATATGGTATGTGGTGGTCCAGTTCTTATTTTGGGGTTCGGAGCTTTCCAACTCTCTCCTTAGAGTTTCTGAATGACTACTTGAATAAGTTACGGATAAGGAATGAATAAGGAAGTGCGAATAAGGAACCAACTTCAGCCTCCTTGCTTATACTCTGATCCTGCTTGACCCTTGCCCCACTGGAACCTCCCTGGAAGCCATCTGCCAGCCGGTACCTCCCACAGCCTATTGTAACCAACACCACTCATCTAGGCCCTGGCCACTCATTGGACTTCCCCTTAAAGAAAAGCGCTATTAAACCTGTGAAGAATGCTCCTTGGAACCAAACCAATGACATGTAACGACATGCCAGCTGTCAGATTCCCAGATCACAGCATCAGATTGGAGTCACACCTTATCCCTGCTAAAACAGAAAACATAAGGTACTAATGACGTATTGCAATAGATATTATGAATCCCAACACATGACAGAAATTAACCCAATTTGCAAACTCAGCGTGCCTTCACTCTGACAAAGTCACATGTTGCTGATAAGGATTCCTCCATAGAAGGAAACCATTAGAGGTTCAGTTGTTTTTCATTTGGTTTATACTTGGTTTCACCCCTACACTCTAAGTGCTCAATTGAGCTACCCAGTTTTAAGTAGCTATTCTCATTGTCTGCACTCCCACACCTCAAATTCTGTGCCTATTCAAGTGTTACAATTAGCTACCATTAAAGGCTTCGATAGTATTCCGAGAAGAAGAGACCAGATTTTTACCCCGCTCTTCACTCAGAGTGGCCTACAATCTCGTTCCCCTATTCTCCCCACAAAAGACACCCCGCGAGGTATGTGGGGCTGAGAGAGTTCTGAGAGAAACTCTTGAGAGCACAGCTCCAAGAGAACTGTGACTGGCCCAAGGTCACCCAGCTGTCCTCATGTGGAGGAATGTGGAATCCAACCTGGTTCCCCAGATTAGAGTCGCTGCTCCTAATCACCACCAGAAATACATCCCTTTACTTTAGGGCCAAATATTAAAATCTGAAAAACTGGAAATTTATAATATTTTCTCTGTATAGTACCATGTCAAAATGCTATGGAATATAGGTCCTTGTGTACAGTCTCAAATATAAATAAGGCTTTTCCGCATTAAGTAGGTAAACCATTTTATATATTTATCTTTATTTATTTTAATGAAGGAATAGCCACCTCAATAGCATTCTACGCTTTCAAGCTTGCTGAATTGAGTATTGTTTACTCAGACTGGCATAGGCTCTGCAGGTCTTTCATATCACCCACTGCCAAATCCTCAACTAAAATGCTGCAGATTGAACCTGGGACCCTCTGCATGCCAAGCAGCTGATATCTCACTGAGACACATCCCCTAACCACCTAAAATGGCCACAATAATAACATACCACCATATTTGACTACCAGTGTGCAGTTCTTAATGACTGCACTGCCCCACCTCACCCACTCAAATATTTAAGGCCACCTAGCTACAGTGGGGCTTCACCATTCCGGTCAAATGGGTGAGGGACTGGGTACCTGTTATGTGTTTTTGTTATTTAATTCAAACTGCCAGCCTCTGTCATACCCAAAAGGGCCACTGGAGTCCTTATAAAAATGGTCACTGCTGCACCAACCAAAATGGCCGCCAAATTAATTCCTCTAAAATGGCTGCCTGGAGAAATTGGCCTCCAACCTTATGTAAGCCAGAAAAAGGGGTAGGGTAATTACCTCACCATCACCCTCTATCACTCATTTTAATTATCTAAAATATTATTTAATAATATTACATTTTAAACCCACTAACTTCCTCCAAGAGGCACCCCCACACAGAATGCCGGTGTACAGGGGGCTGGCCTTCTCAAGGCCTATATCATAACCCACACACACACTCAAACTCCCCAAATGTCCACAGGCAGGAGTGGGTGGCCGAATAACTAAATATCCCCTAACCCCCTGCCACTACAAATAAGTACAGGGCGGGGGGGGGCGATAGTGTGGGGGCAACTCATGGGGGTGGCACTAAGCAGCCTCACCAACTGCAGCCACCCACACCCCAGGCCCACTAATGTTCCCCCAACCTAAAAAGGGGGCACATTTTATGTGTTTATGTTTCTTATTTTAAACAGTGAGGCGCAGCGACAGTCTGTGGATTAGGCCGCCGCCATGGCCCCAATATTCCAGTTGCAGATGAGGCCCGATATTCTGGCCACCGCCGCTGCTCACTGCCCAGCCGCCACCATGGCTCCAATGATCTGCCTGCCACTGCAGCCCGTCGCACCAGCTGCCAACTTGGACATCCGCTTCCCGGGCCCAACCGCAGAGGCCCTCTCTCTGCAAGCCCATCGAGCCACCGCACCGCCGCAATCAGGCCGAGTCAGGGCCGCCCAGCAACGTTTTGGCCTCCATCCTGGCCGCCACTGAGGTCCGATGCTCCGGCCTGTGCTGCAGCTCCGATGCTGTGGCTAGCGCCGCAGCCTCTGCCCCGGCTTCCACCGTGCAATGCTCCAGCCGGTGCTGTGGTACCGATGTTTTGGCTGCCACCGCAGCCTCTTGCCCTGGCTGCCGATTCGGCTCGCCACTTCCCAGGCCCTCGGCAGAGGCCCTGGCCTTCGCTCCCTGTGCTCCAAGCTGTTACCAGCTCGAGCACGTCGGAACAAGTGTCATCTGGCGGGAGCGGAGCCTGGCAGTTTATCTAAGCCGGCTCTGCCCCCTGCCCACGTCACAACGTAAGGCATGGTCATGGTTGTTGCTGCCCAGCTTCCTCAGGGCGGCAAAGCAGCCCCCGGCAACCAGCGGCGTTGCCAGGTCACCGGGAGCTTCGTTAACTAAGGAGGTCATGTCATTTAGAAGGGACGGAAGTTGTTTTTTGTGAGCGCTTCTTCGGTTCGTGGCGGGGATACCGGCATAGCATCAGTATTTGGTCGAACCGGCACCATCTTGGGGTCGTTCAAAAGCATGCAGGCCGCAGCTTTTAGTGAAGTTTCCTGGGGGGAAAAGTCTGCTAGAGTCCTGGCGATATTTTTAGTGTCTTCTCCCGATGCTCTCATTGATTTGAGGGAGCGTTTTTTGGGCATTTAGCCTCAAGTTGTTGATTTTAAGTCGTCTTGTGGTGGCTGGGGTCAGGAGCTCTTTTCCTACGCGCCTGCCATGCATCGCAAGCTCCGCCCTCCTCTTGGTTCTTCTTTTGTGAGATGTGCCCTGAAGAAATTCCCTGCCCATTCTTGTAAATTTTCTCCTGTTTACCTTCAGGGTTGCCAATTACTGGAGATTTTTTGGGGGGAAGAGCCTGGGGAGGGCAGGGTTAGGACCTCAGCACAGTATATTGTCACAGACTCTACCTCTGAAAGGAGACATTTTCTCCTCTCTAGTAAAGCCCTACAACCAGAGTGGTGGAAGCTAGTAAAGATTCTACCCTACTCCAGGCCGGAAGGGGGCAGAAGGAAAGGAGGGTGTGCTGGGGGAGGGACAGATCCCTGGAAGGGATGTCATGTCTGACAAACTGCTCAGCCTTGGGCACCAAACCATGACACCAGCACATTCATTATTGTTAATCTGGTCATGAAGGAGGAGGAAGAGGAGGAGGAGATTGGATTTATAACCTACCCTTCAATCAGGCTGCGATCACACGCACTGTATAATCCACTTTCCATCCACTCTCAGTGCACTTTCAAATCAGATTTTGCCAGTTCACACAGTAAAATCCAGTTGGAAAGTGGATTGAAAGTGGATTGAAAGTGGATTATTTAGGGTGTGTGACCACAGTCTGAGAGTCTCAGAGCAGTTTACAATCTCCTTTCCTTCCCCTCCCCACAACAGACATCGTGTGAGGTGGTTGGGGCTGAGAGAGCTCTTTCAAGGACTGCCCTTGAGAGAACAGCTCTGAGAGAATTTAGGATTGACCCAAGGTCACATCAGCTGCTGCATGTGGAGGAGTGGGGAATCAAACCCGTTTCTTCCAGATTAGAGTTCACCTTCTTAACCACTACACCAAACTGGCTCTCTCTTAAAGCAAGAGGCCTCTGCTACTACCCCGGTGGGCACAAACCTGTCTGTAGGAAGACATAGACTCCAAGGTCTTACTGAGATGAATCAAAACGATTTATTGGAAGACACTCTAGTACAAGACACTACAAACGCAACCTCATGATACACGAGTACAGAAGCCCAGAAAGATGAGTGTATGAGGCACACAGGCAAAGGTTACAAAGAGGTGAGAAAGCTTAATGGCCATTAGCCACTCTAAATACTTGTTGCCACCCTACAACCCTCCTGCCCTTCTAGTTAAAGCTCGGTTCCCTAGCACAGCAAAGCAGTCTCAAAGCTACCTATACAAGGATCCAGAAAACTTGACAAGACAGGATCTTCCATCAGACTTGTGGGCTTCTCAGCTGTCAGACTAATGAGGATGGAAGGACAGGGTGGGGGGAAGGCTACTGGAGGCCTCATGACACAGCAAAGCCTCCTCAAGGCAGGTGAACCCTACAAAGTAAAGGCTGGACCCACCCGCCTTCCTCCTGGACTTCTCCTATATTTCCAATGGTTAGGGGTGCCATGGAAGCACAAAGAGAAGCTTTGTACCCAGAGTACTAGAACCCCCCCCATTCTCTGTCATGTCTTCCATCCGCCCAGAACAATATGTAAGTTGGAGCTCTTCTTGTCATTGAATGCATTGGTGTCAGCGAGCTGCCAAAGAGATCTGTGTGTACCTGAAATGCTTTGTCCTCAGGCCCCCTTCCCCCCCCCCCAGGTTCTGTGCAGAACACGCTATTTCATCTCCTGTATCATGTCTCATGCATTCCTTTCACTGTATGCTAATGCTGCTTTGAACTATCGTAATCAGCAAGGTCACAGGTGGTGGAGAGTCGGCTTCGCTTAGTCTATAATGAACTAGAGTGTGAGAAGAACATATTTGTTTATCATTTAGAAAGCCGTTGTTTCTCAGGCTTTAGACGCGAGTTTGACAGCCTAACCGCTTGAGCGGGAACCATGTCCATTGGTTATTGCTTTTATGAAATTGCTTTATTATCCTTGCCCTGACTGTTGTGGTTATTCTAAACAGTGCACTTGTTCCAGGTTCATCATAGCTTCAATAAATATTACTTTGCTTCAAACGTATATTGGATTGATAGCTGTGGGATTGGACAATTGGTCATCTCATTGGAGAGAAATGCAAGAACTAACCTCTGCCCAGGGGACCTTTGGCTGTCTCAGCAACCATCAATGCCTTGCGGAGATCTGGGAGTCTTTGGAAGGGGACTCCCGTAATGCATGATTCTGCTGCCAAACCATTCTAGGGTCTCCCTTATATGTGGGACGACATTCTCTACAATCGGGCTGCCAAGAATAATCATTTCTGATGCAACAGGAACCTGCAGACTTCTCTTGGCATTGCAGTCACTGTTTAACCTCACAAAAAATTCAAAAACAAACTAAAACAGCAGTAGCAACTGATTAAAACCTCCTCAGATTGTAATATTGTTAATGCGCTTCAAAAAGAATATCCTAGAAACAGGACTACAGCTAATCATGAAGTTTAGACCCCTGTGGTTTTTTCACACAAACAAAATCTGTACTTTTCTGAATGAAGAAGAAGAAGAGAAGAGAAGAGATTGGATTTATACCCCGGCTTTCACAACCCAAAGGTGTCTCAGAGCAGCTTACAAACTCCTTCCCCTTCCCCTTCCCACAACAGACACCCTGTGAGGTAGGTGGGGCTGAGAGAGCTCTTGACAGAAACTGCTCTTTTTTCAAGAACAGCTCTTATCAGAACTATGGCTTGCCCAAGGTCATCCAGCCAGGTGCAAGTGGAGGAGTGGGGAATCAAACCCGGTTCTCCCAGATTAGAGTCCGCACACTTAACCACTACACCAAAGTGGCTCTGAGTGGACAAAGAGGGTTTTTGAGAGGACTCTGGGAACCTACAAGGGTTGCATATCCACAAAAGTTGCTGTAGTAGAGTGAGATTCAGAACCTAATGACAATTTACTTTCTTTAAAGCTACAAGAGTACTTTCTGGCTCAGATCAGATCTGACAGCCCTGCTCAAGAGTTTAACAAGGCTGGGTAGGACTTTAGGAGAGGGAGATAAAGGGTGTTATGTTCTATTTAAAAACTGATATCTTCTCTGCAAGCCTCACGGAGATGAAGATTGGCAGGATCTTTACTCAGTAGCTTTTGCCAGAACACTCTGGGCATCTTCCATGGCATCTTCTAGGAAGCTCTTCAGCACGTAACGTGTGGTGGCAAAAGAAGTAGCTCCACCAACTAGAGAGCCTAAAACTGGAATGCAGCGTGCAAGCTCTTCCACCACCATTGCGGAGCCGACCGCCAGGAACTTGGTTGCGAGAGACCGCACAAATTTCGAATCAATCTGGCTAGCCATCGGAGTCTTCTTGACCGCAGATTTCAGCACGTCCACTGGTTTGCGAATCCGTTCTGCGAGATTACAGAGGGAAGCTTCATCCAGGCCAAAAGCCCTGCAGATCTCTTTCATGGATGATACTAAGAGGTGAACGTCGTAAGCAACAGAGAGACCAGGCACAAAGATCGCCCCAACACCACAAGACTTAAGAGCTTTTTTCCAGATTAGCTTTTCCATCTCAGCCTTTTTCTCTTGCAGGTGTTCTCTTGAGAAAGCTGGCATCGCCATGATTAGAAGAGGTCTCTTAAGAACATTCAGGTCATCTGCTAGGGTCTTGTGGAGTTTAGGGAAATCATACATAGTCAAATGCCATCTGGATATGAGAAAAACCTTTGGACTGACAATTCCGTCTTTCCTCAAATTGGAAATGCAGTCATTTCTTATCTTTTCCAAGGTTTGTGTCTCACTGAAGTTTGGCTTCCTTCTCTCATTATCCATATCCTGATCCACTTTGGTGCGAACAAAGTAAAACCGCTTATTCATCTTCTTAATTTCTAAGGCCAGCATTGTATCATTCACAGTGAAGCGTATTGCAGAGACGATGATGAAGAAATCGTACCTGCTAAAATTCACGGACTCTAAGTATTTATTTGCTTTAAATTCACGTGTCCCAATCCCTGGTAGATCCCATAACGTTATTTCTGGAAATATATCATTCGGATATTTCTCTGGCTTCATAGTTGTCTGTTCCACATCGGTTTTAGCTGCACCTAGTTTATGATCTGAGATGTTCCGAAAGGCATTCACAAAGGATGATTTACCAGCTCCCGTATTCCCTGTGACAGCAATGTGAAGTGTTGTGTTCTCTAATAGTTTTAATTCTTGATCAGTATCGGCTAAGACGTTTTGGAGACTTTCTTGTTCCAAACGGGACTTCAGCTCAGCAAGATCTTTTTCTGTTAATCCTTTTGAATTGGCAGCCATAACTGGTCCTCTGGACAGGTCAGTTGATCTGAATAAAAACAGAAAGTATGAGGATTGTTACTTCATGCTACAGGGTGTACAAACAGCATTTGTTTTTTGACATTGCATATTTACTTTTGTAGGCAAACTGATTTATTTACACCATTCTTCCATGGGCAAAAAACTAGATTTGTACTGGATGCATTTGGTTTTTATGATGGCGGAGGGGATATGGGAATTTTTAAAAATTCAGGGTTTTGGTTCTATTTGGCTTAAGGCATACATGCCCCTAGTCAGAGTGGGGGACTCCCCAGCCCCCCCTCCCATTTTCTCCTGCTTTTTGAAGTGCAGGCAGGAGGTTATTATTATTAATTTTTTTTTAAGGACATTGGGCCATTGAGATGGCATTGCTTCCAGGGAGAATCCTGGAAGTAATGTCAGTCTTCTTTAGTAATTTCTGAAACTATGGTTTTACCATAGAATTCTCAAGGATTCCTAGAGAAGCATGATGTCACTTAAGGGTTTTCCTCAGAAGTGATGTCACACCATCAGCAACAGCAACCTGCCATGCCCCCCTCCCTCCATCTCCTGGTCTCCTGGTAGTTGGCAAACCTATATTGGCTATTACATCAGGCATCTAAAAGTATAGGCCCAACATGGTGTTCCATTGGTTTCCCTATCCCCACATGACTTGAGTATGACCCTGACCAGCTAAAGGCAAATTCAGAAGACCATTTTCCCCCCATGACCAGGTGTCTGCTTCAGCGCAGACTATGGAACACTGGCATCAAACAAATCATCTAAATTCAGCCTTTGGAATTAAGTGCTTTATATTGTTTCCAGGCCTGCCCCAGGTCTTGTTAAAGCAGATGTGTACTGGGAATTGTTTTGTCAGATGATTTGGGGATGAACGTATTGAAGATGGGGAAAACTTGTAAAAGTACAATTAGCTTGCAATATCCTTTGGAAGCCCCCAAGACAGTGTTCAGTTTCGAAGCTATGATGGCAAAACACCTCCATGTAAAAGTAGCCCATATCAGCCATGTCAGTGTTTACTCCAAAGTCCTGTAAGGAGCTTGTTGACTTTGTCACATAATTTTGTCACAACCAGTGAACCAAACCACAAAATGGCTGCCTCAGGAGGCAGAGCCAACTACAAATGTCAGGGAGTGAGGTTATACATAATGCTAATTCAATATTTCAGGCAGAAGCTCTGCTTAACAGGATGGTGTTTTAAATCACTGTAGTAGTTTAACATATTTTCTTGCAGTACCTTCAGTTACACAGTGAATACCACTGAGCCGTGGTAGCAGCTGTAGCCTAAGCAATGTTTTGTGGGTTTTTGGTGGGTTTTGTTTTGTTTTGTTTTCAATCTGAACAGACAATCAGATCTCCAGTGGCCATTCAGAATCTCTGCTGGGCAAAAGCCCTACCGTACTCGCTACCTGTTTTTTAAGAACACTTGCTAAGCACTAGGAAAGGTAATGTTGGGATTCCTGCCTTGAATAAGGGTTGCCATTTGCATGCTTGGAGAGGGCAAATGCCTTCCCTTCAATCCCCCTCACTCAATAATTTGAAGAGCAGGAGAAAAAATACGTGTGGGAGGAACTGCTGCAGGTTTGTGTTTGTGGTGGGTTTTTTTTTTTTTACCATAGAGATTGGGGTAGTTCCTAAAGCATCTCTTGGCAGAGTTTAAATAAGCAAAGCAAGTGCAGCACTGACTGTAAAGAAGAATAAAACTATTATAGAACATAGAAGTCAGAGAAACTTAACTGTCTAACATAACTGCTGGGAGAGGAACAAAAACAAGCAGGACGTCTGCAAAACAGCTAAGCAGGAGACAGAAAGGACATAATTTGAAATTGTGGTTGGTCCCTAATCTAGCTATGCCAGCCACCAGCCCTTCAGCTGACCCCCTGTAGGGTGATCTTCAGATCTTCTTCAAAAGGCTGCACTACAGACCTTGCACATTCCAACAGCATCACCAGAAGCAGCACCACATCCTCCTGAAACTCCAACTTCCCCAAGCCCTGTCCCCAAAGTCTCCCAGTGTTTGCCAGCTCGAGATGGAGTGGGAACCAAGAGGTGTGTGCATGCTCTTGGAAGCAGACGCCATTGCTCCTCTGCTCCGAGTAGACAAAAGATTTATGACCTAAAAGAAGGCAATAAATCTCACTAAACTGCCAGAGAACAGGCTGAGTTGTGTCTAAGTCAGCAGGGAACAAGGAGAGCCGAAGAATTTGTGGTTTAGCAGGGTAAGAAGACGGTTATCAACTTTTATAGATAAGAGGCTGCAGTCAGCAAATTAATTAAAATGGTGACCACGGTAAAGGCACTGTCAGAGCAAATTGCCCAGTTTCAGGCGTTAATGTTAAACTCACAGAAAAAAATAACAAAAGAAATTGGCGAAGTGAAACAGGAGGTGAAGCATATAACAACAGAGATCAAAGGTGTGCAGGCAATAGCTGTGCAGGCAAAAAACATGGCTCAAGATAATAAGGAATTAATCACCCAATTGAAGACACAGAATGCAGAACTGTCAGACAGAAGCAGACGTGCAAATTTGATTATATATGGGATTTCAGAAGAAGTAGGGCAAAAGAATTTGGAACAATGTACGGTGGAATGGATATTAGAGCAAGGGACAGAACTGGAAGAAGAGCAAGTTGAAAGGGTACACAGGCTGCAGACAAAGAGAAGGGGGGAGAACCACGCCCTGTCATAGTAAAATTTGCAAGAGAAAAGAAACAACAACAGATATTCTCAACCTTAAAAAAATTAAAGGACTGAATTACAAAGGGAAGAAGGTTTATGTTAGACAAGACTTCTGCCAGGACACATTGAATCAAAAGAGATTAATGAAGCCATATGCTCAGCAACTTTACAACAGCAAAATACAATTTAGCTGGGCATACCCAGCCTCTATAATCATCTTCAAAGAGCAAAGAGGCAAAGAGACTAATTGCGAGAGACCCACGAGAAGCTGCTAAACTACTGGAGAAGTTGGGACTTGATACAAGAAACCTGGAAGACCAAACAGAGATGGAAGAATTGGAAGTAACAGAGGTCAAGGAAGCAGGTCCCTCCACGCACCAGGAAAAGAGGCAAAGGAACACTCTCATAGAGGCAGAAAATTAAGGGAAGTATCCATTAAATAAAAGGTCATCAGTAATGGGATGTGAAAGAGTTAAATGTGTCGGAGGGGGGAGGTGTGCATACCTGAAGGTGTAGAGAGAGGATGATTTACTCCTCCTCAAACAATAGCTCTACACAAGGGGGAAGGTGGTGGTTGGAAGAATGGGAGGGGGAGGGAAGGGGAGAAGGGTAAGCAGGGTAAACAGAATAAAAATTAACTCTCAGCGTGAGGGAGGAGGAAAGCTTAGAGTAAAAGAGTATGGCTAAAAGTTTGAAGGTGCTGACACTGAATATGAATGGCTTGAGCTCTGACTTAAAGAGATATAGACTCTCCAGGTTTACAAAACAACAGAACATAGATATTATGTACCTGCAGGAAACACATAAAGCGAAGAGAGATAATAAATCGTTGCTTAAAGACCCAGCGTGGGTGGTGCTGGCTGAAGCTAGAAGTGAATTTAAGGCGAGGGGAGTGGCAATACTAGTACATAAGAAGTACGATGTTAAGATTTCTTTTTAAACAATATTTTATTACAATTTTTATATAACACTTTTAAACAAAAATGAACAAAATGGAAGTTGTACAACGTCAAAAAGAGAAATAAAAAAATTCAAAGTGACTTCATATACATTCCAACAAAGCATTATTCAAAAATAATCTAAACTCCATACAACCTATGTTTTTGTTGATATTGACATTTGTTTAATCTGACCTAAAAATTTTCTAATGACTAGATCTTTCCAAGTATTTTATAAAGTCAACATTACCTTCATGCCAAAAAGTTTACTCTAACATTTCAATTATATAATAGCAGTTTGAGTTTCACGTTTCTAATAGTTTCCCAATCGAATTTATCAATGTTGATTTTTTCTAAAATAGGATACCAGATGTTTAAAGGACTCATTAACTCACATTCTGTTTGGGTTTCTGTATGAAGAATGTTAAAATTTTCTAATTAAAAAATGTCCCATAATTTGTGCAACCAGTTATGAATGGTTGGAGGATTTTTGTCTTTCCAATGTTTGGCTATGAGGATTTTGCCGCTGTGAGCAAGAAATTAATTAGTTTTTTCTTGGAGTTCGAAGGTGCCTCTTCTGGCCATAAGTTTAATAACATTAATTTAGGGTCCACAGGTGGTTCCCAGTCAGTCAATGTTTTGATTTCTTTCAAAACTTGTACCCAGAAATTGTGAATATGAGTGCAAGCCCACCAGCAGTGAAAGTACGTAGCCTTAGTTTCCTTTATCTTGAGTTTGTCCTCTTTTTTAAGTAACCATTTGTATGTTCTCATATGTTTTTTTCTTTTTCCTCCAGGAGTCTTGGTTAATAAACCACCCCCTTATATACGCCTTAAAAGTATCCCATATTATATCTATTGCAGATTCTTTTTGATTGTTCCTTATAAAGAATTCCTTTATTTCAAGTTTCGTGCGTTCTACAAAATTGCGGTCCCTTAGCAACCCTAGGTTTAGTCTCCATCTAGGTCTTCTAAATGTTTCTGTAAGTCTAAATTGTACCGGGTTATGATCAGCAAAAGTTTGTGGGAGTATTTCTATCTCTAGTACCTCTAATACCCAACTTGCAGAAGCCCATATCATATCAATTCTCGACCAGCAGATGTGTCTGGCTGAGTAATATGTGAAATCTTTTTTCCCTAGATTCCTAGTTCTCCATAGGTCTATTAATTTATATTCTTCTGCCATTTCTAAAAAGTTTTTTTTTATAATGTCTGGCTTTTTCTTTTGTTTTTTCTGGTTGGTTTTTTTATCCCACTTTTCATCAAATACGCGTTGAAATCTCCCGCAATACAAATATTTTCTATTCTCTGTTTTTTCATGAAATCATACAACATTTTATAAAAGGGCTCTTGGTTCTGATTGGGCGCATATATATTTATTATTAAGATCTCTTTTTCTTGTCTCCTTATTTTCACTGCAACCAATCTACCATCATCTGTCGCATGTATTAGCTCTGGAGAAAATTGTTCTTTAACATAGGTTACTACCCCATTTTTCCTCTTTTTATCCGTTGCTATAAACTCCTTTCCTAGTTTTTTACATTTTAAATATTTTCCATCATTGTTTTTAATATGCGTTTCTTGCATACAAACCACATCTGCGTGCAGTTTATGTATCTGATGGAAGATTTTGTGTGTTTTCTGGGGTCCATTAAGGCCTTTTACATTCAATGATATAACATTAAAAGATTTCTTTGACCCCATTTTTACTTTTTAAAATGTTGTGCCCTAGTCTTGTAGCGAAACCTTGTTAATATATTTGACACCGCTGGTTTTGTATTTATATTCCTTTTCCCTTTTTTTTCTGTTCTGGTTGAATTCCCTACTTGTTTTGGGCTATCATTAACTTGAGCTATCTCTCTACCTCCCCCTGCCTCTTCTTCCGTTTCTTCCTCACTTTCTTCCTCCTCCTCTTCTTCCTCCTCTTCTCCTCTTTCTATTTTTTTCAACCCTAGCTCCTCCCCGTACAACTCCAGAAAATTTTCTATCTTAAAGATGGAGTCAATCTTATGTCTTCTACTTGCATAATTGAACAGGACACCTTCCGGTATCAGCCATCAAAATGTAATTCCGTTTTGATTTAACAAATTTGTTAGGGTTCTGTAATTCCGTCTTTTCTCCCTAACTCTCCACCAGATAATTCTCATGTTATATGCATCATGCATATGTGTGACTGAAACCCCACATATATCCAGTAATTGGTCCCCAGTTTCATTTGGAAAGTGGATGCAGGTTGGCTCTGTCTGATGAACAGCTGTAGGTTGTTCATTCTACATGCATTCTCTGCGACATGTGAGGAGGTCTCTTGTGAAGGGAGGAAAGGACCATTTTAGCAGAGACTAAAGGATATTCAAGCACTTAATGTGTAGACTGCAGTCTACTCCCCAGCTTCCCTCTGCCTGGAAAGGCTAACATGTGCGCCCTTCTTGGCCAGGGCACTAACCCAGTCAGCTTCTTCCTGCAGTGACTAGGAGATCAGCCTGATTCTGATTTCACTGTGGGAGTCCCCAGCCCTATTGGATGAATGGGAGTTACTCTCTCTCTCTTTGACCGCTCTCACCATCCCCACCCCACTTCCCTCTCTCTGAGGCATCCCAGTCTCTAAGACTCGTGGTGGATGAGGAAGAAGGTGCAAGAGATATCATTAGGCACCCTGAAGAAACT